GAGACATTGCCTTTGGAAAGCCAGCGAAGTTAGACGGAATCAGCCCAGAGCTTTCGTACGCGGTGCGCGAATACACCGCGGTCGAATTATTCCCTTTGAAAAGGCCCCGGTGTCTTACTCGAGGTACACCGAGTGAAAGAGGAGCGGAGAATAACTCTAGTCTGACTCTTGGAAATTATTCTCCCAAGTTTTCCTTTTGATTGGCTGCATGGAGGAGTGGCTTCTCAGCCGATCGCACGGGCGAGGTATCGCAAACGCGTTGCAAACGCGTCGCGACGCCGGACGTCGCGACGCCGTGGCAAAAAAGCGCCGGGGGATTCGATTAATTCCTACTATGCATTATTCGTACCGTTCTTAGTTGCGCTTCTCCAGTTTTTTATTTTCTTTTTCTTCCTCGACAGTCGATGCTCTGGAAGTACTCTCTCGGAGGTAAAAAGCACGCGAGACGTGGCATCGAGGGTGAGAAACGGTGGATAAAGGCGATGTGGTGGAGGTCGAGGGCGACGCGTAACGCGAAGACACGACCCAAGTTCGCGCGATCGTTGTGGACGTGCACACAAAAGTGGGAACTTTGTTACGAAATCCCGAAGCTTGAGTCACGAGCGAAGTGTTAGTGCAAATCTGTGCCCAAACGAGTAAGATAGCCGGCACGATCGATTCACGAGCGCGAGGAATAGTTCGTAACTTCTTCTTCGTCGCTTTCACGTAATCGCCATAGCGTTCTCGAACGCATAGCGGCTTGCCGGGTATTACAGCAGGTAGAAAACGAAGAACGACGAGGTTTTCGGCCGTTTAACCTAAACCCGTTGCGTGAGTTTTGCTTTAATCGCTACTTTAATCGGATTCGAGGAGCTCGTACAAACTTTAATTCCTCTCCGCGTACAAAGAGTTTTGCAAGTGTGAATTAAATTAAACAGATGTTCTTTCTTTTTTTTTTTGCTTTCGCAGTCGGATCCGTATATGTTTGACAGCTTATACGTATCTCGTCCGAAAGGAGCAGTTTTAGTAGCATTAACTTTAATTTTTTCCTTTATTTTTTTAGAGGTAAATCCGCTCACGACGTAAACTCCGACTAGAACGATGTTCTATACGACACTTGCGAAACACGAAACAAAGTATGCGAATCACGACGAAGACGGCGAGCATGTCGAGGGATGTTGGATATTCTAACGACAGGATTACGTACACTTTGAAAGAGATAAGAGAGAGGGAAGAGACGAGAGACAGAGAGAGAGAGAGAGAGAGAGAGAGAGAGAGAGAGAGAGAAAGAGAGTAAGAGTGAGAGTATGGGTAGATCTTTCCTTCTTTCACCTTCTCTCTTATTCATCCTTTTTTGCTCTTTTATAACTCTAGAAAACACTTTGTACTTGGCGGTGTAAACGCGCGAAAGTATAATACCTGCGCTCGTGAGACAAGACGATTTCATCGTTGTAAACATCTTTTAACGGATAAAGGGGATA